AAGAATCACGTAATTTCAAAATTCAAATTTGTCATGAAAGGTAAGAATCTTAAAATTCTCATAAATATATCTCTCTCAAATCTATATTTCTTCTCTTTATGTTCTCTAGTTGGCTTGACCTCAACCGGAATATCATTGGTTTGGTTGAGATCAAAGTGTTGTGTGCTAGACATATTATTTTATCTGATATTACCATGAGTTTCTTTTAAAGCAATTCAAACACGTGCAACAAAATTGGAATGGAGTAAAATATTTAGTATATAGCAACTCATCTAGAGCTATTTATTTTAGATGCCCTCACTATATGGCGTTCAGACATCCAGTAGAGTATTGTCTATTCTTGTTCTACAAGCATAGTCATATACTCATTACTGGCATTGTTTTCTCGAGTTGAGTTGAATCATTTACGGTACTGCCTTTCATTTTTCTTCCTTTAGCAATTTGCTCATAATTTCTCATTTGAGTGCAGTTATGCATTGCCGTTCCTTGCCACGTGTTCAAGTTGTGGGCATTTATAGGAATTATGTTTCAGGTATATTCTACTGTTTCTCAATAGAAGTTGGATACTATTGAGGTTCAGTTATTAAGCATAAAATTTGCACAAATTTTAGTACGAACTCGACCTCCCAACCCCCACAACCACAAACCTTGCCCCATAAGAAATGAAAAGGCAGTGGGAGTTTAATTCCTGTTCTATGGCCAAACACAAGACAATGTTCTATAGACAAATTTGTGTTGTCATTTTGTTCTGGTTAGAGTGAGAATTTATTTATTTTCATATAATGGCAAATATATTTCCCTCCCTTTATAGGTTCCATTGGTCTGGATCACTAATTACCTGCAAAACAAGTACAGGAACTCAATGGTATGACTCTAAAGTGTTTTATTAAGAAATTTGGCCTGTTAATGAGTTATCTCATAAATTATAATCTTCAAGTGAATTTATTTGTTGTTTCATTCTTATTTTATGCATGCCAGGTTGGAAATATGATTTTTTGGTTCATATTTTGTATTCTTGGTCAACCTATGAGCGTACTATTATACTACCATGACTTGATGAATAGAAAAGGAGAAGTTGACTAAGGTAGCATTACCATGGTGGTGTGAATGTGCTTTTGCATTTTCAAAGTAAAATGAATGTTGATAGTAGTTGCCGATTTGTTTTTGTACGGGGATCATCATCTGTTTTGACAGTGATTCCATCTCATTTTTGAGTCTTTGATTGTCGATTCCTCTTGATCTATGTACTAATTTGCGCTGTTATCAATATGCTAGAAATTTTTGAAAATGTCAATCGCTAACCGCTAAAGTAAAACTCAGTAGTTTGTGATAGTTAGTTTAGGGATAGCTGTAAATGCCAAAGTTGGTTTAACTGTATATTGTTTCTGGAATTCAACCAATAAATGATGACGGATATCATTCAGTATTGTATGAGTCATCTTACTGCACTTATATTTCGTTACTATTGCCATGAATTAAAAAGGTTAATGATGAAAAGAAAGGCTTTTACTACTTCCATCCCCGTACTAAAAAATTTTTTTTTTTTCAAAATATGGTCCTAAAAATATGAAACCAAAATTGTTTTTCAAATTCGCTATATGCATAAAATTATCAGAAAGCTACAATATAATAGATAAAATTATCATTAATTGATTGATAAAATTCATTTTGTATGAATATAATATAATTTGTTTATTTTTTTTTTAAAAAGCAAAGTATTATTATATGACGTGTATAAGTTGCTACATTATAACATAATCACCAAGAAGCATTCCTTTATTGTGTTAAGTCAACCATCGGTTCCCTACCTTTTATTTACCATAAAGTTCCTACGTTTAAAGGAAAATCAGAAAATATCAAAGTTTGCTAAATGGAAAAAGTTCTTTACTTTCCGTTATGATTTTTTCTTATTAAATTTAAGATCTTATACTACACTTTTCAGTTGTAATATGGTATACTGAAAATCATTATCTAAAACTTAAAAATTATTATAAAAATTTCAGTTATAAACTCTCTGTTATGGACTAACTCTGTTTGGTATAAACAATGTTAGTTAAATATTATGTGTTAATTTTGAATGTAACAAACTTAAACCAATGTTGTATTTTGTTGTTAAGAATTAGTCCTATATCTCTTTTTTATATATTTTAACAGTTAGAAAATATGTTAAAACATGAGATCAACAATCTTGCTGGTGGAGTTTTCTTTTTCTCTAAAGAATGGTTTTATGGTAAATCTTATCATATCTTATATATATATATATATATATATATATATATATACATGTCAAACAAAAGCTATCTAGGAAAAATTGAAAAAGACACGTGACACACCAACTCTATAGTAAAAAATATGAATAGTGATTGTCTAATTGATAATTAAAAATTATAATGTTTATATAGTAGTATCGGGTAATTTTGGTCTTTTAAGAAGTATATAATTTCAATTCTATAACTGTCATGAATAGTTTGCATGGTTGAGGTTTGAATTTCCTGCCCCTCCACTTTCAAAATTTACTCAAAAGTAATGTTTTTAAAATTAAGTTAATCATTAAATGATTCAGTTGTGATTAAATTTGTATAAATAAAATAATTTTAATAAAATGCTGGAATAGGAAATATAACTTTATAATAGCAAAATCTAAGTTTCAACTCATACTGTTTTATTATAAAGTAATTAAGTCTCAAAGTTTTACATTAGATGTTTTCTTCAAATCAGAATATACTTTACAACCATTGCATTTTTTAAAATTTTAAACATTCAAATTAAAAATTCCAATTTTTATTGATTCAATTTAAATTTAAATAATTGTTGGTCAATTTGTTTGGTAGGTTCACCAATTTTTAAATTAATTTAGTTGCGGATTCTAAGATTAAATTAATTGGACTAGACATTTTTATCTATTGAAATAATAAGTTTAATCTCTTTTTTAAAACATAACATCAAGGACTGGTTTTACTGTTTTTGGTCTTGTTAATCTTTATTATCAATTATAATTAATTTAATCTTAAAATAGGAATACTAAGATAATAAAAAAAAAAGTAAACTTAGACAATTGGATTATCTTTAAATGTTATTTCATATAAGTAATATATTTACTATGACCTACAAATAACCATTTCTATAATTTATTTATTCATGTTATCAACAACTATCACTATATTACTTCTATAAATGTTTATTTATTTATTTTTAAAATATATGCTTACAATATTTATTTATATTATATATGCACATATTTATCGTTTTATAATAATATTATGGGTTAAATATGTTTTTAGTCCCTAAACTATTGACCGTTTCTGGTTTTCGTCCTTCTTTTAAAGTAAGGTACAATTTGGTCCTCATTCTTTTCGAAACGTTCATTTTAGTTCTCGGAATTTTGGTTTTAGTCCTCATTTGTTGTTAAATGAGGACCAAATTTTTAAACAGTGTTTAGTTTTGGGAGGACTAAAACGAACGTTTCGAAAAGAATGAGGACCAAATTATACCTTACTTTGAAAGAGGGACGATAACCAGAAACGGCCAATAGTTTAGGACTAAAAACATATTTAACCCTAATATTATTAACAAAGCATATTTATTCTATTATGAAAAAATTAATTTTGTATTATTTTTAAATCATGTAAGAATGAAAAGGCAGTATCGATTACTATTTTTCGTGATAAAAAGACGAACATATTTATTATTATATTATGGTTCTTTCTTCGGTGATGAACTTGTTAAAAACCAAAATAAGTCAATTACCATAATTCAAAACTATAATTATAATATTAAACGTAATATATATTTTTATATAAAATATTCAAAGTAAATTACTAAATTGAATTTCGAATAAAGCCAGGCAAATAAAATACCCGCTTACACACATTAAATAGAAAATAAAATTTTAAAAGTTGTATATAGTTATTCATTTATCTAAAATAGAAATAGCTTAACACAAAAATACTTTTTTATCATCATTATCATTATTGTAATTTTCATTTTAATAATAAAAATTATAATACAAATTTATTTAAAATAAGATTTTAATTAAGTTTTAAACTTTTACAAAATTAAGTACTTCTAATTAAGTAATCATTATAAAATCTTGCTTTTATTTTCATTTAATTACTGTCACTTAATTGTTTAATTTTAATGTAGTAATTATTTGCTTCAGCCCACCAATCAACTTAAGTTTTCTCTTTCTAATGTTTTCTAACTTTTTAATCAAGTCATTCTTAAAAAATGAAAAAAGATGTTTTGAAAACAAAAATTATTTAATAATTCAGGATAAAATAATCATAAAAACATGAAATTTTGTATTTATAAAGAAAAAGAGTATGAAAAACAGTAAAGATTAAGGTCAACAAATGGGTATAAAAAAAATTTAGATATCAAAATATAATTGTACATTAAAAATAAGTTAACCAGTAAAAACAATATAAAAATAACACTCCCATCATCCATTAACCGTAAAAATCAAACAACCAAAATATATAAACTTATGATATTTAAGCCTAAATTAAACCTTCAAATAAGTGAAAGTCATTTTTCAAACAATTTTGTACAACGAGTTCTTAATCAGACACATATGAGAAGGAACGATTAACCTATGCAAATATGAAGCACCATACTCCATCAAGCTATCCAATTTAAATAAATCCTTCCAAAATATTTGAAATAAAAATGATGTAAATGTTATTCAGAGATAACAATTACGGGAAACATGAGAAAAAATATGATTCAAGCTGATAAGAATTACCCTTTCAAGAACCTAAAATACTTCTGATAACGGCCGCAGTGATGAGATCCAGACACGTCTTGGAAACTTCAGTTTTACCAAAACATGAGTAGATTTTGTGGCATTTGATATTTTTGAACAATGTGGTCCACATGACACTTATAAGCATCTGGTAAAACAATAACTCAAGAAAATATTACAAAATTTAGGGTTCTTACCAGAAGACAAGTGCCCATGCAAACCAGAGCTTCCCCACTTGAGTTAGACTAAGTTCTTTCAGCTTCCCCACTTAATCAGAGTATGAGCACAAGGGTTATCCCTTCGTATCTGAGTTCATATCCCTTCACAGCTCACCTTAGTAACGTATGCAACTACTGCATTGCAGTGTTCCTCAACTCAAATATATATTTACAACATGAAAGGGTAAGGAGTTAATAATGTGCCCTCTTGTCATTTTCCAATTGCAAACCTTCAATGCCCTTGACAGCACTTTCATAGTTCTTGACATGAGAAGAAGCATTTCTCCCAGATGTTATTTTGCGCATTCCAGGGTTAACCTCAGTAGTACGAGTACGAGAATCCAAATCACTACCAGCAAATGCATCCCGGCTACTAGAAACACCCGCTCGCCTTGATCCACTTGACTGACCCAAGACATTGGGCTTTGATAACTGCATGATTTAACAGAACTCGTCACACTTGTAATCAGTGAGTTAAGATCTGTTTTCTAGAAAGAACCCAAAGGAAACTAAGCACTCTAAACAACTTACCATGGCTTCCTTATTAAGAGCAGCATCCATGGTGACAGGATTTTTCTGTCTTGAAATATTTACAGTGTTTGAGATGGTGCCTGACATTCTTCTCCTTGTGGAATCCCCTGAAATCAGACCAGGAGGTCGTCCGTCTTCCTCTCCTGTGAAAAAGGGGTAACAACAGAACGTTCAAGAGCTAAACTATTAGGAACAAAACAAAAAAGCTATTAGTGAACCTACATTAGCAAGTTGCTGGAAAAAAAAAAGGACAGCATTAGAGTGGCAACAACAAATGCAAGGCAACAAAATGTAATTAATCTTTTCAGAATGAATTAATTAAATTACATTTAAATTTAACAATTGAGAAAAATTCGGATCAAGAATAAAGAAACATACAGATAACAATGATTTACCTGTTTGTCTATCAGCATTAGTCACAGCTGGTGGCATTGCAGAACTAGTTCCAGCAGCAGGACCCTAAAACGCAAGCATCTTGCATTCTCAGAATTCTATATCCGTTGCTGAAGTGAAAGATCAATAATAAAGAAACACTTACAACAGCACGTGCAGGGGGTGCGGCTAGCTGTGATTGCTGATACTTCAAAATTGTCCAATCAAACACATAATCAAACTGGAATCCTGTCCATACGCCAATGTAATGAGCATGTATACATGGTCTTTCATAGATTGAAATCAAAATCATGTGTATGCACAATAAACTCAAGGGCAGAGACAAAAGGATGCACTCTAAATGACATTATGTTCACACCTTCACGAATAAACAGGTCACGAAATATTCTCTTGAGATAAGCATAATCTGGCCTATCATCAAACCTTAATGAGCGGCAGTAATGGAAGTATGATGCAAACTCTGTTGGATAACCTCGACACAATGCCTGCAGTAATCAGTTATCAGTATAATTCAAGAATAATACAAAATATGGATTCAAGGAGGCCAATAATAACAGTACCAACCTCAATAGAGGTAGAAACCTTTTTTTCACTGATTCTCTCGTATTTCTGTTTCTTGGTTCCCGCTTTAAGTCCTTGCCAAGGGAGACTACATATAAAATGAATATCAAGTCAAAGGCATTCAACTCTGTACTTGAAGAAAGCAATGCAAGGTACACGCCAATAATCACCTTCCCCTCAGGAAGTACATCAAGACATAACCAAGAGACTCCAAATCATCTCTTCGACTCTGCTCTGTGTATTGATCATAAAAGTAGTACCAAGCAACATGTATGTTAGACAACACTGCTTCGGCACATATTAATTAAATGCCAGGCAAGAATCATACAAACATACATACCAATGCCAAGGTGGGTATTCATACTTGCATATCTAGCAGTCCCAGTTAAATTCTTATTTTCTCTGCAGTTAATGATCAAATCCAATAATTGTTACAAGTACATAGTAAATTACATTAAAAGAACATTAACAAGAATGGGCAGGATACATAAATATAAAACCAAGCTGACATGAACATAACATTATTACGTGTCTAACAAGAACCTCAACCTTATCCAAGAAATCAAAAAGAAAGCATTATACACATAATTAAATTTAATACACTTATCATCACCAACCAGTCAGGTAAATTACATGACTTCTGAATAGAAAATTAAACAATGGCATTGGAGTAAAATAAAAAGTTGTCTACAAATTATAAATCATGCAGGAAGAAGAGCACTAATCATATATAGTCCAGTTTTGGAAGCTACGCAGATTCTGCATCCAAAGGAATCCAGAGGAAAAATCATAGTTTCAGAAAAGTACAATAAATGAATCCGTTAGAAATTTTGAAAAATTAAGTGACTATCACTATTAAATAAACGCATTTGGATCATCTTCAGCTTAAAATTAACACATTGAGAGGCGAGTCCTTTCAGGTGTTTGAATATGAATCTTCTCAGAAAACTTTCACTAAATAGTATTTTTATAATAAAGGTTTCACTCAAGAAATCATCATATGAGACTATAAGATCCCAACGAGGTGGCATCTTATAGCTCACCAATCATATCCTTCGAAGAGGAAATGCATAAAAACAAGAAAGCAAATACAAATAAACATGGGAGGCAAACCAAACCAATGTGTAAACCTAGGAAAACCTATATTCCGGTTTCAAAAGAACACCTGACTTATACAAGAGGAGAAGTACTCAAACCATACAAAATCCTGCCAGTTCTGTTTGGAGTTGAAAAGCTTTATAGGGGTTAAACCCCAAGGTTTGGGAGATTTACAAAGGCCATGACAACCTTGGGATACAAGCATGCCAACAGGATCACAACTTTTTCTTCGAATACTTGCATTCAAGGCAAGCGATTGTCTTGTACTGTATGTGGATGATATTATTGTTATTGGTAATGTTTGGAAGGAACAAAATTTGAGTTAACATCTAGCAAAGGAGTTGAAGATAAAAACTATTGGGAGACTAAACTATTTTCTAGGTATCGAAGCAGCCCAATGTAGCAGAAATTTGGAAACGAGAGTCACAAGGACACATGAAAAAAAAATGCGGGACACCCAACACAAAACACACTCATGCACATTAAATATTAACATGACATTAGAATAAAATATAAAAACATCTTTTAAGACCCACATCTTGTTATACAAAATAAAATATAAGAATTTAAAGACCCTTTTCTTAGACTGGCAAGGATATCTATTAATTCTTCCATTGGACAAATGGAAAGCTATTTACCAAATATATTAATGTTGAAATTAAAAGTTAGGTTGTTCTATTCCCTCTTTTTCTTTTTCCTCTTCCACTGCTCCTTTCCCAATGGAGCTCTCCTTGGTCTTCTTCCACATAATTTCTCGCCCAAAACTATTTGGCATCTTACCTTCCTTGGGAATGTCTGTTTACACTAGGTAAGAACTAAGAACTGTCTTTGTACTGGAATAAAAAATCATCTCCATGATTGAGTTAAACTTCATCTCTGTTGCATCAGAGAGGGGCCATGTCCATGTCAGACATCTCTGGTAGGCTGGTTCCAAAACCACTTCCATGCCACGTCTGATCCAGTTCTAACTTCTGGAAGCGTCATGTCCAAACCACGTTTGTGCTTCATAAAGTGCACCCTTATTAGCTTCAGGAGACAGGTTTAGCAGCTGGTAACCCGATAGGTATGGATTTGAACCTTAAATTGGGTAGTATAGATGGCAGTGTACCAGTTCATGAGATATATCTAACCCTGGTTAGAAAATCATTTTACTAGTCCCACACAAAGCCAATTTCTGCATTCGCCGTCAATTTGGTCAGCCAATTGTCCAAGATAAGTCCACAAACAAAAATTTCTGCAATAATCAGGAAGAGGAACTTTTTATAAAGAAATGGGAATACAATACATGAAGCCTACTGATGGAAGACGCCTGAGGAAAAGATGAAGGATCAATAATTGATAGGAGATCCACTATTGGATATTACACATTTCTTAGAGGAAACTTAGTAAATTGAAGAGTTAAAAGAAAAGAACGTTCTAGCTCAATCAAGTACTGAAGCTGAATTCTGAACCATGACAAAAGGTATATGTGAGTAGCTTTGGCTGAACAGTACCTTACAAGACTTGAAGATTAAATGGAATGGTCATATTAAGCGCTACTGATATATCGAGTCAACAATCAGCATATCCCATAATCTAGCTAGTTCAACGTTATCAAACAAAACACGTTGACGTGGATAGGCATTTTTCAGGGAAAAGCTGGATAGTCGTTTAATTGAACTATATATGCACTTCCACAATTCTCACTAAAGAACTGTGCAATAAAAATTTTGAAAGAATAATACACAAACTAGGAATGGATAACATTTATTCTCCAGCTTGAAGGGGGAAATGTTGGAAATAGGAGTGTTTAATGCTTATTACCCTTCCATATAGTTTAGCTTAGTTCAAACACAGCTTAGGTAGTTATCATGGTTTAATTGTTGTCTTGAAAACAGTACTTGTATTTATTATCTTTGCAACCACTCTTATTATGAAAAAAAAAACCATGAGCTAAGTAGATAAAACATTCAGGCACATTCAGAAAATTTGCCTCCTCAATATACAGGTTGTAGCTGATAATTGCATCATATTTGTGAATCTCGTGTGAACTAGAATTCTATGAATTGCATCTGCCATCACTTTATATATTAGAGTGTCTTGATAGTCACAAAAATTTTGCGATGGGGTGTTCTTGTACTAGTTTTTTATGTCAAAACATGACCAAAGACAGAAATCTTTCAGAAAGTTGATTTTAAAACTAATCAGTTTTTATCTCAAATAAACTTACCTTATTCCCTGTCCTCTCTTCTATTATTTTGCTTTAAACACCACATAAATCACCAAAAATATTATTCGATTTCAGATACTAATCAATTTAAAACCAAAGTCAAAACAAGGAATTATTTAAATTAAAAACAATTCAAATTCAAAATAAGGAATTATTTAAATTAAACATAAATCAAATTCATATAGAATTAAGAAACTTATTTAAACTTAAAAAGATACGAGCTTCTTTCAAGTTTCCATCAAAATCTTAGTCATTGCCACTGTTAGCCTCCAATTCCATGTTTTTCAGCTGCTAGAAGATACAAATCCATAAGGGTATGGTATATAAACAGATTGCCATTTCAAAGCAGCATCATACCATCTAAAAGACATTCGATGTGAGAACATCTAAAAGTATATTGGTCAACAAGAAAATTATTAGGTTTTCAACTTTTTCTGCCAAATGATTGATAACGCAGATTTATAATTCTGAGGATGAAAAATAATATGACATGAGAAGTTAGGACAACAAAAACCCCAAACATGAAAAATTACAAAGCCATAATTAAGTCATTAATTCCACTAGGCAAGAAGGTGTAACAACTGGAATAACCTAGTTAAGTAAATGAATCTGTGTACCTGTATGGAATGTGTTGATGGGTTGAACTATCCCTATATTTTTTGGCCAAACCAAAATCAATACAGTAAACCTACATGTAGATCAAAATGGATTACATACCTAATTTATGAACATACAATATATCAAAAGCTCAAATGTAAACAAGATCACCCACCTGGTTTGCCCGCCTTCCCAATCCCATAAGGAAATTATCTGGTTTGATATCCCGATGTAGAAAAGATTTACAATGAACAAACTCAACACGGTTGATCTAAACAAAAACAAAAATACAAAGAGTTACTAATAATTTACTAGTTAGCCAAATAGTTAGCCCTGATCAGTCGCATAAAAAGGACTCATGACCAAAATAAGTCACTAATTAATAGTCATTTGAATGAAATAGTTTATCAGAATTTTATCTCCTTCATTCAGATTAAGGGGAAAGACCCACCATTTGATCAGCAAGCATGAGAACTGTCTTTAGTGAGAGCTTTCTACTGCAAAAGTTAAATAGATCTTCAAGACTAGGTCCAAGCAGATCCATCACTAGAACATTGTAATCTCCCTCAACTCCAAACCATCTAATATCAGGAATTCCAGCTGCCCATGTCAAATTTGTGTTAGAATTATTTATAAATTATAAATATATCACATACTTATCAGGGCTTGTGGCAAAAATATGCAAATAAGAAAGAGACAAATAGTTATTTTGAGAAGAAACATTACTTCCTCCCTGGAGAACTCTGTACAACTTGGATTCATATAGCAACTGAGGATGTTTTGTCTTGACATTTTCCTAATTAAAAAGAGCAGACAGGCAAAGAACAGGAACATGTGAGGGGGTAAGAGAAAAAAGATAATAAGCTAAGCAATTCAAAAACTAGAATTACCAAAGAAAAACAGAGTCCAAAATGACCAACACAATTCATGTAGAGAACATATCAGGAATGAAGTTATATAACAGTAAGTTCAACAGCTTGCAAGAGTTCCAAATTTGCAGCTCAAATACCATTTGTACCTTTTCAATTCTTAAGTATTCTCCTTCACAGACTAAGAATTGTAATTTGCGCCTAAACATTGAACTGATTAACACAGTAAACACTAAGTACAAAAATAACAATGGAAGTAAAACAGTCAAAGCTTTCTAAATATATATAAAAAGCTGAATTTATACAGGATTATGGTTATATATCTACAACATTCAGACGTGACCATTTATAAATATCTTTACACTTTATCTCTGCTAAGAGAAAATTATTTTTTAATGACCATTACATACAGAATTTCCAAGCATTTAATAGCAGTACATAAGCAACATTTCAAGCCGACCAATCCACTCTCTACCCCAAATATTTCAAGCAGTTCAATTCATATGCATTTTGCTATAAGAAGCACTTACATCACATGCATAAGCATAATCATTTTAAAGGCTAATAAAGAGAAATTTTCTCTACGATAATAATAATCTATAATCTTATCCACTCAATAATTAAAAAAATAATCCAATTATTTAAAAGGATATATACACTTGTTTTTTACAGTAAACATGTTAAGAACAGTGCACCAGTCATAAGTATCTTCATTCCTATGAAATGTTATAACAACCAGTATAAACCAGCCATTTTAAAATTCTACTTTTGAACAAGGAGCAGACATATTACTCTAATCATTTTGAGTCTACTGCATAACAGAAAAATTCTCGTTCACAAACCATGAAGATTGGTGACTTAACAATAGAAAAGGTCTCCCACGAGAACCCTTTAAGCCTCCACCGTGTCCCCTCCCATAAAAATCAAAGGACAGTAATCTCAATGAATGAAGACAGTCACAGACACCCAGCATAGAAGCGCATACACACCGCTCAATGACATTGTGAACGCGAGTACAAAATCCAACCTGAACCCAATTTTCACAATCCCTTGCAGAAACTGATTTCAGACGAAACCCCCTTTCGAAACCAGTTTCACACAACTCATGGCTATAAAACTGACAAATTGTCCTCTCCTTCATATTTTAAATACAAAATCACTCAAATTCAAAAGTCCTATATAATCCAAAACCCAATTGGTTAAAAGCACTTACAAGCTTAACTGCAACCTCTTCATTATTTTGAATGTTAGTACCTGCAAAATAAAATTAAATTAAAAACCATGATCGTCCAGCATCATCACCATCATCAACAACAACACATAAAATTATAAACAATAAATAAAAAAATTAATAATTAGAAAGTAAATTAAAGCAACCTAAATAGATCTCTCCAAACGATCCGCTTCCGATCTTACGACCAAGCCGAAACTTATTCCCAACGCGAGGTTCCATTCCAAAAACAATTCTGTACAAAAAGGGAGAGAGAGAATTTTTTTCCGCTGAAACCCTAAGCTAATCCGAACGCCGAATTCCGAAAGAGGAAAACATTTAACGCGAAAAGTTGCAAAAACGAAAGAGATGCGTTCATCGATCGGATAAAGAAATGGAAGAAATAGCAAAGTAGAATGCAGGTGTAAGAAAAAAAGAAATAAAAAAAAAATGGTGAAAGATTGAGGTAGAGAAGAAAATGGTGTTAGGGTAAAAGAAAATGATGGTTAGAGAGAAAGGGAAATTTGAAAATTGAGGAATAGTGTTTCTCTCTCATGCATTATGCATTATGGTTTTGCAGGAACATTCTTGTAACCGTCGGTTATTTTGGTGTGTTGAAGGAGCAAAGCAAATATATAGGAGCGGAGACACACGGCGAACCCTTCGCCGAGTTGTCACTCCTCACTGGGCCCCATCTCACGTGACTTTCATCAACCATATCCTACATTATTTATTCTTCTTCTTTTCTCTTAATTGAATTCAAGATCAAACATAATTGAACTACGAATATATACTTTTTTTTTATATGTGATAAATTATATTTATGTGTTAACGTTATTACCATTTATGTTCATTTTAGTGTGTGAGATGAAATGTTGAAGGTTTTGTTTGTGCAGTTTTAATTGATACTGTGAACCTTGCTTTTGATTTATTTTAATTTAAATTTTATTAAATAAAATTTTAACTTCTCAAGCGTGGAAATTGGTATACTGAATAAAAGACTTAAATTTGGCATTTTTCCCCTGTAGAAAATGCATAATGTGTAATATTTTTTTTATATTTTTATTCTTTTAATATATTTATTTGCTTTTTTATTTTTATCTATAATATTATTTTGATGATTTTTTATATAATTATTTTTATTTTCTAATTATTATCCTTAGAGATGACAAAACATATCGGTATTTTTTTTATCCTGTATCGCATTTTACTCATCCAAAACATGTTGAATCAGATTAGTTGATCATAAAAAATAGGTTATAAATTAAACTTGTATTGTCACAGGACAAGTTGGTGAGTTGACTTACCATATTTAAAAAAAATGTATTTTTAAGATTTTTGTATATATATACTTATTATAAATAAATATCTAAAGCATATTTAATCATATAAATATTTTATAGGCTTTTAATTGATTAATTAATATTTTTACTTGGATAAATTAAAATAATTATTCCTAAATTACTTTATTATACTAATAATTATAATTTAATTTATAAGTATTAAATTATAATAGTATTACATTTTTACAAAAAATACAATATTAAAAATTAATCATTTTAATTTTAATTTTTAAATTAAAATAATAGAAACAGAATTGGTCAACGGATCAGGAATAGGTTACCCGTCAATTTGACGAACTAATTGAGGCAAGCCAAAGCAAACCAATAGGTTGAAAATTCCAACCTTACTCATCCCATTTTAGTAAGCTAGCCTACGAGCTATAGTTGTACCTAAATTAACTTGACTCAGGCTCGAATCAAACTAGTTTAACTCTCATTCAAGCATACCTAACTCAACCTTATGAGCCTGACCTAAAGTTATCTTACATCAGTCTCGTCCTATTAAGCATCTCCTAACTCAAAGATAATCTAATTTAACAACAAACTTTTAAATATAAAATGAAAAAAAAATTAAGAACTTTGACACAAAAAATCAATCAAAATCAACGACAAAAAATCATCAATATTGATATTTTTTTATTTTAACAATTATCAATATTGATTTTTTTTTAAAAGTTAACAATTATTTAATATTTGCATATTTTTGAAATTGATGGTAAATGAAATATATTATCCAGGAAATTAAAATTCATTAAATTTAAACTTTATTATCCAAACAAATATTTGAAAAAGAAATAATTTGAAATGAGATAAATTCAAATTCAAATTATTTGAATGTTTTAAAAATTATAAAATTTCCTATATAAATACAAGGTAAAGGCATTCATTAGCAATTTAATTACAATTTTCAGAAAGCATTTTCTGTTTTGATTAGTTACTATAAGTCTTATATAGTTTTTAATTCCTACACATGTCTCTTCTTCAACTATATCTTAATAATGTTTCTTTTAAATAATGTTTTGAAAGAATTTTTATATGCAACAATCCCTAATTTTGGATTTATTGGTCCTTCTTCGACATGGAAACCGAACAAGGCTATCTATATGCAAGTCCCTCGTTAATGCCTTGTCAACCTACAAAGAACCCTTATTCGGTACGGTTTTAAACCCAATAGGTCTTCTCTTTTTGTTTGTCAATTTCAAACAAACACAATTTATTTGCTAATTTATGTTGATGATATAATAATAACAAGTAACTCTTCCACTTTTGTTTAAAGGATTATCCATCAACTTAATTTTGTTTTATTTTTTAAGTAGTTGGATCACCTTAATTATTTCTTAGGAATAAAAGAGAAAACAATTTAGGATGATTTTTTTTTTAATCCAAAGGAAATATCTCCATGGTCTTTTACATCGACCTATTGTGTTTGAAACTAGTTTTTTTTTTTCTATGGTATCCAATTGAACTTTATAAAAAAAAGAGTTACAATTTTATTCTTAACATAAATTTCTAAGATAATGATACTTTGACAACATTTTTTTTACAACATTTTAACATCATCTATGTGTCATTGTGTTATTAGTCCAAAATTACTCCACAATCAATAATAATAATCATAAACACCAACATGTACCGCACGTAGATGGTGTTAAAATGTTGTCAAAAAAATGTTGTCAAAGTATCATTGTCCAAATTCCTATAGATCTATTATAAATGTTTTTTAATAGACGACTATAACTCTTATAGAAATAAGTCATGCTTTAAACAAAATATTTTGGTTCATAACTCAACATAGTAAATCTCATTGCTTTCTTGTTATCAGATTCTTGATTTCTTTAGAGTGGGATTATTAGAATTATAGTTTTATGTGAAATATGTACTAAGGTATCAAAAATCTAAAGATTGTTGCTAAAAAAGTTATAAGGAAGAAAATTAGACATACGATTTGGTTTTATTATGCTTCCACGATAGTGATGTCATAACATAAGAAGTTTACTGATGTTAATTAAGGATGATAAATAAATACATATGTTTCTTTGATGATCTCGATTTTGACGTGAAATTTTTATATTGACTAGTTATATGGGTATGAATATAAAAAACACACGATTTTTCCATTAGGTATGGGGACATGGATGGGTACATACATATCTGCCCCATTTTCATCCCCATAACTACCTTAATTACATATTGTCTTCATTATCGTCCTTGTTTAAATTAAATATACACAGTTTATTATTTAATTTAAAATATTTCATATATATATATATATATATATATATATATATATATATATATATATATTATTCTTGTCCTTGGACAATGCAATGCAAATTATAATCGAATATGTCCTAAATGTATGCACTTGAAGACATTCATTTTGCATTAGCTTTGTTGGTCTACTGGGAATAATACCTATGGCGCATCAATTACTCTATAGTTGTTATTAGAATATGATCAAACACTATTATTCTACTAAGATAAATGAATCATCGGATCCAACACTAGGCTCATCAAGGTAAGGAATCACAAACACTATACATAATATTATAAACAACATAATCATTTAGTATTTTTTTATGTCCTCATTAATTACACATTTATTACTTTGTTGACGTCAAAAATGGACTTGAATGTCAATGTCTTCTACATGCACAACCTATATCTATGTTACTAATAATGTGTACTAAGAAGGATGAGGAGTACTTTGGAGATAAAAAAATTGAGATATTCATGAAGTTATTGAAGTCTTTATAGGGTACATTATCGAATATGTAAAAACAACAACCTTTATGTAGTTATGTTCAAATAATGTATTATAAAATATTATACTGAATCAAATAATTTTTTTTTATCTCTATTTGAAAATTAATACTCCTTTTGAATATTTGTATTTATTGTTTATTTTTTCAGAATATCCGACTCCCAATTTTAAGTATCTAACTGCATAAACTGTTTATTTAATAGATAATAAAAAAAATTATCTTCTTTATTTTCTTTTATCTTTACTTTTTTTTATTGCACTTGAAAAATTTTATTTTGCTATAAAACAACTTTTATTATTTCTTAACCGTTTTCAAATAAGCTTATGGTAGACATCATATCTCTCAACAATATGACTAGTTTGATGTCTGTAAAGTATTTTTAGATCTCCAATATACTTTTCATCTTATCAAACCATTAGTTGTACATTTGTTATTTTTACAATTTTGTTCAATGATGTTTGAAATTTTTTCTATGGCCCACATTTGATTTTTTTTATATTTATATTTTTATTTATTTTTATAGTATAGAACACTGTTTTTGATAAATTTTATATAATTTTTTAACTTTTTCACAGATTGTCATAAGTGTAATTTTACCATCTAATTGTATAACATTTTATTCATTACCCATCAAATTAAAATTCAAAAGATGGAAAACATATGTTAAATTTAGAGCAAGTAAAAAGACATTTAAAATGTTTTTAAATTATAATATTTGTTTTCCTTTTATAATTTTTAAAAAATATTTTTTAATTTTATCAAGTTTGTTTCATTAATATTTTTAAAAATTAATAAATATTCTGGTTTTCATAAAAAATTATTTGATATTTTAATTTAAAATCTATATATTATAATACAATTTCTTCCTAAATTGACATTGAAGAAATGATGACACATCATATTGATATTAAATATTAGATATTGTCATGTTTCTTTTTGCTGATGTTTTTCACTATTTTTTATAAAAAAATAATTATTTGATATTGAAAGAATAAAAAAACACATAGAAAAATGAATACGGAAATATGGTTTGACGTGGATGAGTTACAAATTTTATGGTGGTGACGAGGATGAGACACAAATTTTATATGTATCAAATATGGGTATGAAAGTAAATGAATTTTTTCTTTGAAATGATTATGTGATAATGAACCCTTCCTCATTCTGGTAACTTAATTGTAGATTTTCATTTTCTAGAAATGCAATATGTTCTTTTGTTAAAATGGGGATATTAAATCAATGAAAAAAAACATTGGTTAAAGTATAACTAATGATAAATGATTTTCTTATATTTATGTTGAAATTAAAAATAATTAACTCCATTAATTAAAGTAATATAAATTCTTATAACAATTTTTTCAAAAACAAAAATACCCCATAATCGTTTTCTAAATACAACAAACAAAAATTCATATTTTTATTACTTTCTTTCTTGTAAAATTTTTACATGTTTAACACTTTATTACTTTATAATTGATATATTGAGTTGCTTTTTTTTTTATTTCTTGCTTTCTCGGT